AAAAAGTAAAATAAATAATTATAAAAATATATAAAAGTGAAATAACTAATTATAAAAAGTGAAATAACTTATATAAAGTAAAAAGTAAAAAGTGAAATTTTGAAAAATAGAAATAATAAAAGTGAAAGAATAAAAAGTGAAATAATATATATAATAGTGAAAAATAAAATCGAAAATGAAATTATAAAAGTAAAAAAAATGAAAAGTGAAATAATAAAGTGAAATAATATATATAAAAGTGAAAAATTGAAAAAATGAAATAATAAAAGTAAAAAAATGAAAAGTAAAATAATAAAAGTGAAATAATATATATAAAAGTGAAAAATAAAAAGTGAAAAATAAAAGTAAAATAATAAAAGTGAAATAATATTAGAGGATTTTATCATTATATGAATATTTTTAGAATTTTCATGTTTTTTGATTATTTTTGAATTTGTGACTTTTATGTTACTATATTGAATATTGTATATTCATAAACTTTTATATTCCAAATATAATAAATCAATCACTTTAAGATATAATATTTCAACATCTAATGATCTAATTTGAGCAAAAATACTACTATTTTATCTAGCCAAATCAAATGGTGCTATTTTGCTCAAATTGGATCACTGAATGTTGAGATATTACATTCTAAAGTGGCAGATTTATATTTGTTGATCAATTTTTCATTAGAAATTGATCGCCAGGATATACATGTAATATCTTGACCCAATTTGAACAAAAATAATATATACCATTCAATTTGTCTATTCAAGATAAATCAAATGGTATATATTATATTGAATCACTGGAAATTGAGATATCATGTCCTATATTGGCTAATTAATTTTTGTTAATGTCAATCGATTGCTTTAGGACGCAATATTTCGATGTCCAGTGATCCGATTTGAACAAAATATTACCATTCGATTCACTTCGACTAGATGAATTGAATGGTAGTATTTTTGTTCAAATCGGATCACTGAACACTAAGAATTAGATTATTGGATATTGAGATTTGTGTTATAAAATAACTGATTATATTTGGAACGTGAAAGTTTATGAACATATAATATCTGATATAGAAACTCTATCAATTTATAAAAAGTATCAATGATTAGCATTTGTAATGTTCTTTGTGCTCGGAAAATTTTGTACATTAAACATAATCTATAGAAAGTTCTGACCAGCACTGTATATAGGAAAGGAGTCTAAGGGCTTGAAAACATGTAAAATGATAACCATGAAAATAATGGCGACAACTCGCATTTGCCCACCCTTTTCAGTGCATTCAGAAAGGTCCCAACTTGTCGAAAGCAAAAAATGCGATAACAGTCCTGGGTTAACTCATACATTTACATCAATTTCATCAATTGTGACAATTTATTATGTTAACGGATGCATCAAATCTTACTTGATATTATACTATTTGATGATAATTATACTGCGATAAACCAAAGCAATGCAATTATTAAACTTTTAAAAGAAATGGGTATCAGCGAAAAACTTTTAGATATTACGCGAGATTAAATTACACATGTATACTATAAATAAAACCATGAATGTTTAAAATTGAGCACTATTTCGTGGTGAGATGCTAACTGAATACTAGCGTAAAACTGTGTAAATAAAGAAATGCCGTACTGCAACATATGAGGGTGAAATGGACGTCGTAAGCAAAATCGAAAGGGATCTTCACTAATGTGTTACTGTTGTCAACTAGCAAAAACGTCTTCCTATTAAGTACAATCTACTTGATGAAATTCCCAAGCGCCGTTTTCATAACCTTTGTATGCAAAACACGAAGCTTTGTCGGTTGCGTAGTACACATCTCCAGTGCCGACGTTGGTTTTCTTCACGTGAGCACAAGACCACTGATCATCTGGTACCTCGCAATCCAATAGTGTGCCACCGGCGCAGATTGCTTCTTGACCGTTGCATAGCTTAGTCCCGTGGCCGTCACAATTTGTTACGTATGGTACACAGGTATCAATTGGGTTCCAATAGGAGTCATCGGTGGCATATATATGCACGAGATATGCTATTTACACAAATCCAAGTAAAATCAGGTTATGAGAACAGAAAATGATCCGACGTTCGCAATACGTATTTTACCTTCAACCGTGTTGGTTAGTAAGAAACATATTGCAAGGATACTAAGACTGCGAGCGACCGTATGATACTTCATTGTAGAGCGTGCGGTTACGTTTGGAGTGACCACGTACTTGAAAGACGTCTTATTTATAATGCAATCGTGGGAATCGAAATAGCAGTCTTTCCAATGAGCATGCATTCTTCTATGCATGAGTCCACCTTGAACTGGAAATTCTCCGTACATCCATTTGTCATTCCCTTCCTTGCTCAGTTGCCAGAAAGAAGTCGTTAAATTCTATTTTAATAAAAGGAGGCGTACGTATGTTCCAGGTTGTCCAATTGCATTGGCATAGTGCCAAACGTTGCGAACGTTTTTTTTCCATTCTGTAATAAACACTGAATTTTACTATACGGGCATTTGTTTCTGCCATATTGACCGCATGCCAACATGCTAACATATGAAAATAAATCGGCAATGATCGGCAATTTTCACGTTGTACGTACCTCGTGAACGACCCGTTTAGGGGGACCGTTAAAGCCGTGTAGTGAATTAAGGCTTAAGTCAACTCGGATAATCATAATTATCTGGATTGACT